GGGGGGTGTCAGCACGATCGATTGGCCATCGAGTATTTGAGTAAAAAGAAGCACTTCGAAACAACAACAGAACTTTAATGAAGGGACGGTACAGTATAAGACAGAAGTGCCCAAGATTTTAGAGGTGTTACTACTAGAGAGTAATATACACGGAAAAGAAGGCGGAGAAATAAACAAGATAGTGATTTGATGACAAATTACCGGACATTTAGAGTAGGGAAAGTGCAAGACTGACAGACAGAAACAACAGAGGGGGAAAAAAATAAGTAAAGAGACACGAAACCACATTAAGGCATTCAGCAAACACCAAAGTAAAGGACTCAGGTTAACGTGACATGATGCATGGTGCAAGTGAAACATCAACTTACCACATGGGTTCAGTGAGTGCTCTTCATCTCGGTCTGAAAAAGACAAAAGAAAAGATATAAGTGACTGTGAAATGACACAAGACCGACAGACTGCACAAACAACTGAAATAATTCTTATATCTCATAAAATTGCCATTCTTTAATTGTTGTTTTTTACAATCAACATTTAAAAGAAAATAAATAACCAATTTTTGTTTGTTTTGGTGGAAGTTTTATGGCGCTCGTAACTTCATAAGGTCATATGAGCGCCAGAGGTGTCACAAGAGAGAAACAAACATAAAAAAGGAGGGGAGATAAGGGCGATCGATGTTTGACAGGAAAGAAGAAGCAAACCACACCAGAGCTCCAGCCAACCACCCACAACTAATTTTTGATGGTGGCTTTTTTAATCATTGCTCTCGTTAAGAAAAAAAAAATACCTGTACGAAATGATTGTTCAAGATTACACAGCTATTAACATTGTTTTTTAACAATCGTTTCGCGCTAGGCAAATAAGTCAGATTTACAGACAGAAGCTACAAACTGCCGGAACAAACGCAGGACTTATCAGCATACCCCTCCACCCAGCCTTTGCCCCTCAGTACCAGCAGACAAAGTGTTCTTTAACCCTTTCGCTACCAACCCCCTGAGTGTTGAGAATGATCCTTCTACAGATCGGCATTCCGCGGAGTGGTCTTGATGGGGTTAAAGCTCTTGTACTTTGCCACACACACGGCACGATGATGAGTCTCTCAGGACTACCCTGTGACGTCATACAAATGGCGGCGTTTGGGGAATAATCAGGAGAAAAAATCGAGAGTGGAAACATCGGGACAAAAGTGAGTGAAAGGACAAGGAGAGAATCTTTCTCCCTTCGTCTGTTTTAGTTTAGTAGAGATTTTACGGCGCTCGCAACTGCAAAGGTCATATGAGCACCAGGAGATTAGAACTGTTACAAGAGAGTAACAAACATAAAAGAATAAGGGGAGATAAGGACGATAGATGTCTGATAGGAAAGAAGAAGCAAACCACGCCAGAGCACCCGCCAACCACAAGTTTGCTTGTTAGCTTGGTTGTTTGTTTGTGTGTTTGTTTAGTTGTTTGACTGATTCTTCGATCGTTTAAAAAAAAAAGCTTCAACACAGTAAATGAGATTTAGTACTTGCAAAAAATCATGATTTTTTTTTTGGGGGGGGTGGTGGTATGGGGAGGGTA